CTAAAAGGTAATACGAAATATTGACAACATTTTTGTTTATTTTTTTATTTTCAATCACAAAAAACAAAAATCACAATCATCTCGTTCTCGTTCCATATAAGTCCACGATGCAATTAGATATGATCTAACGGTTTAATTGAATATAGTAGATTTATAGTCTACCGATTAAAATTTATTTAATTTGAAGATAACTTAAACTAGCCATAGGTAATTAATGTTTTGATCATGGTTAATTCATGGGTGTTATCTACTAAAAAAATCGCACGACCAATCTTTTAGAATTGTTTTCATATAGTTTTTTTTTATTTCTTCATTTTTATGCATATAAACATATATTGCTCTACAAAGTGCGTTTAACAGTTTAACTATAAAAAATTTATACGTATCCCCAGAATGGTCTCAAGCTCTTGAAAGATATTGTACCAAAAATAAATATTAGCTAAATATCTGTATTATTATTTCTAAGAATTATATATAAATATTGCAGCTTCACTTTCTATAAAAGTATTCTTTAATTATATCCCACAAAAAAGTGATATCTTGATTATATAAGCAACATGATCAGATCCTATTATATATTATTGTTATTATTTTGCTACAAGATTTATAGAGAAACCTATCATACTAGTTCGTCCGATTTTATTTATTTATTTATTTTAGAATTGTTGAAAAGTCAAGGTTTGTCGGAAATAAGGATTATGGGTATTGATGGTATAGAAAAAAAAGGGGGTTGAGAAAGAGAGAGGAAACGCATGAATCATGTAATAACCAATACGACGAAATAATCGAGGAACACATATATGTAACAATTGACCATTGCATTTAATAAATGTTTATTTTCCATATATATATATATATATATATATAATATAGTTGGTTAGTTTGATGGAATAATGAAGTCGAATCTTATGTTTTTTTTTAATAATACGAGCGACGTGGTTGCTTCCCCTCCTTTCCTTCGCAAAAGCAAGTCCTTCTCGACTACGTCGTCGCCGATATGGTTCCAAAAAATACATCAAAATAATATGGGATATTAGTATGATGGTATTGTTGTAATTATTCCATGAATTGAATTTACGCATGTTTTAATCCAAATCTATATTTTTCACACAATCTCTTGTCGTAATTATTTTTATAGTCAGTTAAATGGCATCGATTTTTCATATTTATTTAGTATATGAATTCATTATTTTGATTTATCCAGGTCTTGAATTGTTGGAGTTTTTGCAAATTCAATTTGATTTCAGAAGTTTTTTTGACATCGAGGAATGTTGCTAAAAAAATATCGTTGATATGGAATGGAATGGTGGATTGTCGCATTATTGTAAAGACGAATAAAAATAAATAAATAAATAAATTGCCAAAAGGAGAAAGTAGTTGGAAACCAATCACTTCTACAATAGGGAAATTGGTCACGTGTCACATTCATTATTTGCCCAGACGACATTTCTAAATGTTACAACGTCAAGAACCTTGTTCTGTCTTTTGCCCTTTTCTTAAAATTATTCTTTTTAATAGTGGTTTTGGAATTGATTTTTATTAATCACGTCAATCATTTTTTTTAGCTGAACTTAGACGGATTACGAAAAAGGTTGGGGAAAATAAGAAAAGAAAATGAATTTAGAGGGGTTAAAATGTAAATTAACACAAATCGACATGTTAAGTCTAATTTCAAAAACTTGTCCGTGAGAGAACTGGTTTTGAAGAAGATCTATTGGGCCGTCCGAACGTAAATATATTTGGGCCACTATCCACATATACTATAATATACGCCCAGTCCAAGTAATTTATTGGGTCACAACGCATACAATTTTTTTTTTTTTAAATTATAACCGAAAATTTGTATAATTTGGTTCGGATATAAAATGATTCAATTTGATTATAACTATAAAAAAAATTATAACCGAGAAACCTAACAAAAATTAATTTAAATCCGTTATAATAATATCATATTATATTTGAATAATATTCGAATTTAAAAATAGTTTAGTTTGACAATACCTAACAATAGCAAAAAAAATAAAGTAAAATAAAATCTAAAATTCGAAGAATATAATTCCATTCGGTTTGATTTTTTGGTTATTGTCCAAATATGCCACCGTATAAAACTATATCACCGTAATTTTCGGATATTATCTTGAACAATCTCGTACCCCGATTTTTAATTAGCCTTCCAATTGGAAATCTATTCAAAAGCGAAAGTTTTTTCTTTTCTTTTTTATGGGTCCGGAAATTTCCCTTTCATCTTTTGAACCCGAAATGTTGGTGAAGATATTATTTGGCTAATATTGTTCAAATTCTCCGAGCGTGAACCCAGAAACCCAAACGCCAAAGGGTCTTGATTCCGACAAGCGGAGGAACAATGGACGACTACACTCGCGAGATGATGGATCTCAAGACCTTGGTCACTCGAACCCTAGAGAAGAAGGGTGTTCTCGCCAAGATCCGGGTAAATTTTCTCTTTGATTCCTACAATTTCTGCCACACATTGTTTGGTTCGCGTTAAAATCCGGAGAAATTAGGGGGAAAAACGAGATGGGCATCAGAGAGAATGATGTTTCAGCCATCCTATTGGGTTAAAATACGCCATTTCTAGGGTTTTTGGATGGAGATCCATGGTTGCTGGACTGGATGTGATCTTCTAATACATGTTTAGAGAGAAATTTCGACGTCGTTCTTTAAATCTGCATCTGGGATCTCAATAGGTTCTCATGTCTTTATTCAGAAATTGGGCCATTGATAGAATCTAAGTGATTTTCTCGAGCATTTGTTTGATTGTGTGTTTCTAAACAAAAGCAAATCACATGTGAGTTTTGATTTCTACGAGGAGCTGACTCTAAAGCTGAAGAAAGATTGTGAGTGGTTTATACTTGCGCTTAATAGTTCAGCTGCTCTACAGGCTGAGCTTCGTGCTAGTGTGTTTGAGGCAATCGAAGAGGAGGACCGAGCAATAGAGAAAGACGAAGGCCTGCCTCCGGCATTGTTGGGCAGCTGCAATGACCGTGCGAAACAGCTTCATGCTTCTCCATCAGGTCTTTCACCGTTTGGGCTTTATATCTGTGTCTGATTCTTGTTGTCTTAGATTCTTTTCCCTAGGATAGATCTATATTATCAGTCTGGACAAAGATGAAGGGATCGGAATTTCTAGTTTTGGTTAAGCAATCTGTGCTGCCTGCTTTTATTAATCCGAACAACAAAATGCTGATTCGGTACGCAAAAGTTTTATGAACATCCAAAATTACTAGGGTTGTACGTCTTATTAATGCAGTATGGTGTTTGATTATGAGGCTGTACATTTCTGTAGTTCCTCTTCATGGTCTGAACTTTTGTAATGCAGGACGGTTGCTAACTGCGTTGATATGTGAATACTTGGATTGGGCGCAACTAAATCACACTCTAAAAGTTTATCAACCCGAATGCAATTTGGTAATAAAAAATTTATTTTTTATTTTTATTTTTTTATAGCTGCAAATGAGCTTAAACTATGTTTCGTTACTAAATTTGTGATTTACATTCTGCCTCAAAACACATGCTTTAGCAAAAGGACTTCTGGAAGGCCGAGTTGAAAGAGTTTAGTAGCAAGAATGGTTATGAGCTTAACAGAAATGGGGATAGTGGGCCTCTCCTTCTGGATGTTCTTGAAGGTTTCTTGAAGTTTGAGGTAATTTCTTTTAGGTTTCTTGAAGTGGACCTCAATCCATAACTTCTGTTTTTCAGTTATCATTTGTTTTGAACACGTCTTAATGGAAAATCTCTAGAAATCGGGTAAACATGAATCTTAGGAAGTTATATTAAGAAACAAGTTCAGCAAATCATGTTTTTCTTCAAATCCATGAATCAAATATTTCCTCCTCTCGTAGTAAACCTATACAATATCACATGTGCAGTTCACTCTCAGGCTATCAACATCTTCTAATTGTTTCTTTTACAGAACTTGTCCCAGTCAATGGGTAGTGCAAGGCGAGATCCAGAAACCGAGTCCTCATCGAGCCTGGAGTCTGGAAATACTCACAGATATTTGTCATCTTCTGCTTCTGGGGGCTTACCTCCTCTAGGAAGGTATATATCTCTGACTCTGTAATTTACGATTTCTCAAATCAAGAGCATTCTTTCCTCTTCTCCCCCCCCTTAAATGTTGTAAGTTTAACATGCTTGATCCTCCAATGTTTAATGTCAGACCTGGCTTTGCACCTCGAGGATCTGGTGAGTGATTTTCTATTTGTCCCCTTTGTCTGGGTTGAAATGTGAAGTTTACCATGATGCAATATCAAATAATATGTAAATTATTTAGATCGAAGAGCTGGGATGTCTTCATCTGGGCATAGAGAAGAAGAATACAATCTGAGATACGACAGTCAAGATGTACCAGAAGAGGTGATTCGAGCTTCAGCAGCGCTGGAAAATCTCCAGCTTGATAGAAAAACTCGGAATTTAACGTCATCTTGGCGGTAATTTCAAAACTTTTTCTAGAAACTGTTCTTGACAAGAGAAATAAAAACAAAGTACAAGAACAGAATGGTTATGGATATTCTGGATTCTTAACCTGTCTCTGTGTTTATGGGTTTGCTGCAGG